ATTTGCAATTCTCTGTACTGTGTAATCAGCCTCGGTAAAATGGCTTCTAACCACTTGAATCCATATCTCACACTCACATTTCCACACTATTTCTCGTCGAGGTGTTTCCGGAAAATTCGACTTATAGTCGCCAGCAACTTCTGCGTGTAGTTCGTGATTGCATTCATGAAAATAATCTTTGTATTTATAAGGGTTTCGCGTGTTACTGCGCAAGTTACCTGCATGTCAGGCATAACAGATGTTTTAATTTAGCTCGAAAGAAGTTCTTCACGATTAAATTCAAAATGTCAAATGATAAAATGTACATATTATAAAATAAGTCTTTATAACAATTTATATATCGCATATTTCCGAATAAAAAAGTATGTCTTATATAAGAAAATAATCATCTCCATTAAAAAAAAAAATATGGATATAAATTTAATTTACATTATGCGATGTTTATATAATTGTTACCGTATCAATTAAGATAAACAATATAGTATGGATTTAACATCATGATTTAAAATTTATTAAATCTATTGGTTTATCAACGCTAACGTAGTGAGAATTAGATTTAACATCCATGTGTAGTATCAAATCCCGTATTTTTGAGAGTGTAACAATTAAAATTGCTAGCCAATTGTTATGACAATTTTATTCCTGCTATTTGTCACAATATTACACAATGTTACATTTTCTTTTCAGCGATTTTGCTTGTGCTTACGCAACTTTGATAACACAATCCAACAAGAAAATGTGCGGCAAGCAGAGCCAGTATTTCTTAGAGGTCGCTGAATACAAATCCACCAAAAATACCCATCACGTCAGGTTTTTGAAATAAATTAGATAATATAGGTCAGAAACAGTATTTTTTGCCATATTTACCATTTTTTAGTCAAACGAAATTTTATTTTTCAATTAACGCCACAAAGAGCTAATCTTCACCTTTAAAAGGAATTTTCATTTTTTACTACACAATTTTTTCATCAAAGTATGAACGTTTTCTAAAATGTAAAATAGCGGATTTAAATTGGCAGATTGAAACAAGAAAATAAATAAATTTGTATGAAAACGTTCCTAGAGTTTTCGCTGATACTGAATTTGAACTCGAAATTTCGATATTCAAAATGGCGAATCACTATAAAGGACAAAATACGAAAAGTAACATTCGATCCGTCATATTGGATCCGTCATTTTGAATATAAAAATTTTGAGTTCAAATTCAGTATTAGTTATTATTTATAGTATTTATTAATTATATTATAATATTATTAATAGATCTTATATTACTATATTTTTATTTTATTCGGTTCATATTATTTTTGGTTCATATTATTCGATTTATCTAAAAAACCTGATATGATGGGTATCTTTCGCTGACGAATTTGGATTCAGCGATCTTGAATTTAGGTATTAAAAAATATTGGTCGTGATCACCGAAGGAAAGTGTAAAAAAAAATTTTGTCGGATAATGTAATTTCTTGCGCTAATGCTTTTGCGTCGTACTCTTTTGATGATTAAGATTGTGCACTGATACAGTATCAGAAATTCTTTATGTAGCCTAAAGAAAGAGCTTTCTGGCGCGGTAAGTTTGAAAATTGAGGTCATTCGAAGCGATCGATACTTTTCCCTCTATACTTGCGTGTAACATCGCGTGTAACATTCGAAAATACTTGGATCTCGCGTGCGGCAACGAAGCGTATTATTCCTAATTATATCCCTTAATTTGAATTTGCGTTCTAATTAACCGGCTAGTCCTAGACGTTATTTTGGCCGTATGGTCGAAGGTAATCGCCGAGAAAGTTCTCGAGCAAAGTAAAATATTACGCTTTACGACAGAAGGAAAATGATCCCATTGCACGTTGTCGCGTATACTTCAAAACAGTTTCTATTCTCTGACTTGAATACGTAAGACGGAGAAATTCACTGGCAAGATAACAATTGCGAGGCGAGGCATGGATTATATGTTTTTCGCCGCAATGCCGAGTTTTGGACGATCGATCTTGTTCGTTGTAAAGCGTTAATCTATATTGCAACTCGTTGCTTGTGAAAGCTTTCTTCGGCTCGTTGCTCACATAATGTAAGCGTATACATCACAATGAGAATGCTTTCACATAAATTCACGGTATCGACAATATGAGGAAAATGACAGGAAACGCGATTCCATTCGGCACAGCCGCTATTGTAACGGACACGGTATCAGTTTCAGTTGTTAATTCGATTTGTTCAGCCTCGAAAATAACAGGAAATAACAGTAATTATATTGCAACTCTTCTAAGTTAATAATAGCAACTGCAAAGGCCGTATTCTACATTAATTATGATTGTAAGCGACATGTATGTCATGTAAAATTCACTCGGCATTATTTTAATAGAATTAGAAATAAAATTGTTTACAATCATACTGCTGCTTTGATAACATCATTTAAATTGAAATGAAAATAATCTTGTTAATTTAACAGTAATAATAAAACAAATAAAATTTTATTAAAACAAGAGCATAAGTATTTATTTTGGTGTGTGTGTGTGTGTGTGTGTGTGTGTGTGTGTGTGTGTGTGAATTAACAAAATCATTTTCAATTAAAATAATGCTGTTGATACAACATTACTTTTTCTTCAGTGTACGAATGCAAAATTAATTAATAAAAGATAAAAAAATATCATTCTTTATAAAAAAAAAGAATAAAAAATATTATGTTTTAATATGTTTAAATTTTTTGTATGTTTTTCTGTATTTCTCATTTGTTCTCCAGAAAAACTTACCAAATTATCGAAATATACAAAAAGATATTGAAAAATGAGAAACGCAATTGAATAATGCATAATCAAAATAAATGTCTAGTTATTCGCGTAACTAATATAATATTCTGGTTATCAATAATAGTTATTCTGTACTAAAAATAATTTTTATCATCCATAATGGTATTTATAACCAAAAATAATTTCCGACATCGATAACACAATCAAAAACAATTTCTATCATCTGTAATAGTTATTCATAATCGAAAACAATTTCTATCGCCAATAATAGTTATTCGTAACCAGAATACATAAAAATTGATATCTTATAAAAATTACATTTTTTGAGCAATTTCTTTAAAGTATAATGATGATTGTCTTCCTTATAAATAAATATCAACTTGCCAGTGTACTTCTCCTTATTTGTTTTTAAATAAATATCTTATTTTAAATAAATATTCTTTTCGATTTTTTTACTTGAAATTTTTAAAATAACTGTTATTTTTGGTCTCTTAGAAACAATAAGGAATCTGTTTCCATTCAACGAAATTTTATATGCATTTCTTCCATTATTGAGACGAGTTGTATGTCACGAATTAAAGTATTTCCTTATTAAGTGCATCGTAAAGCACTTTATCGCAATAAAAAAATTTATGGAAATATTTAAAAAATTAACGCCTTCAAAGAATAAAAAGATATTCCATTTATTTGGTTTTATCTTTCGAAAAAGTGAAAACATAAAATCTACATTTCTAATAAACTTAAATAGAACAAAGATATGCGGTATAAATGATCCATACTAATCTTTAGACTCTAAAAAATGTCGGTGTGAATTTAAACTCCTGGTGTTTATATCAACATCATCATTGGATTTAATTTATGTGGACACCGTGGGTGTGTAGCTTTAAAACCAATGGTGTTAAATCTATACTATGTTGGTGTTAATTTAATACTAACACGGTGAGAATTATATAGACATCGCATGGTGTTTTCACACTTTTTTTAAACTATACAGAACGTGATTCGTAATATAAGTCTGCTAATTAATGTCTACAGCTAATAAAATAAAAAAAAAAGAGAAAGATAATAAATCTGATTCCGTTCTTTAGTAACAATTATTAAGATGTAATCGCATGACTTCACAAAGTGGAAAGCGATATGGAATGAAAAAGCGGAATTTTGTTCCAGATCAAATATTCTGGTGAAGATCGTGGCAGCGAGATGCAAGTTTAGCGATTTGGTGTCACTAGTATGGAATTGTATATGTATGTCGTGTACCGTGAAGAAGTGCCGCGCTCTTTAATATGAACGAACGTAGCGAACGCAGTCATAAACTTACGATTCAAACTGATGTCAGTTTCCTTATTCCCCTGCGAAAAACTCGTAAATTCGATTTTAAGCGCAATCGAGATTTTCGATGGCGCTAAATAAAAAAAAGAAAAAAACAGTTTGTTTTTTAGAAAACAAAAAGACGGGAAGAACAAACGGAGGAAGGGAGAGAGAGAAGGAATAGAGAGAGAGGGCGATGAGGAGGGAGGGGTGGAAGAGATTTTATTTTACACTAAGAAAATCCACACTTACGAGATCGCAATCGACACTTCACTCACAGTTCTCGAAAAGCAGGGCAAAAGATCTGTATGAACGATGAGATCTACGAGATTTAGGTCGGGACAAAATGCGAGGCTCTAACAGTAAGAAGGCCAAAGGTGGGAATAAGGAGAAATATTCTTGTTACACTTTTCGAAGACGTTCCTACGATTGACTAAAATCCAATGGTAGTAATGTCGCGCTAAAAGTTCAGCTGACAACCAAGGTGTCAAAGGCTCTCCACGCGGTCAGCTAATCTGGAGTCAGCCGCAACCTCATTGTTGATAAGAATGCCGTTTCTATCGCAGATAACGCGAACGCGCTCGTCGACCGCGAGCATAATGTCCCGCGTACGGAGGCTGAGAATGAACGAGACAGACAACAACGAAGACGAGATCCGAAGGGAAGAAGAATCCACGCGCTATAAACCCCAAGGCAAGATTCACCAAACGTTCCTCTGACAATGTAGGTTTGCAATTTTCTATGCGACGCGCTCGCGCGAACTCACGCCAGGCCACTGCATGCGATGCGATTACGCGGCGGGAACCAACCCTCCGCGCCACATCAACCCCACCACGAGCGAGCGCAAGAGAGCCACGCCACCCTTCTCTCGCGCTTACCCTCTGGCGGGAGACATCACGCCGTCGACCTACTCTTGTCTTTCGAGCGACTCTCCCGTCTTCAAGGCGTCGTCGTACTACGCTCACATTCGACTACCCTCGTGCTTCATCCCCGCGCTACATCGTGTTTCCCGATCGTGATACCGCATGTGATATGTGAGTACGTGCTTCGACTGTCACACCATTATCCGGAAAATCAATGGTTGATGGGAAAAAGAGTGTAGTGGAATTTTGGAAATGAGATCGATGAAAAATAATTCTCGAGCGCAGATCACGTACAGATAGTTTTCAAGGAGTATATGAAATTGCATATATATATAAAGCTTCTATTATGAGATAGCAGCATTTCTGGTAAACTAATAGACACTGTCTATTGATTCCACCATGAATTTATTGCTCTTAGATTGAAAACTTAGTAGAAAATTTATTATTAGATCATGTCTGTAGTCATTGTAAAAAAGATTTTAGAATTTGGATGTCCTCAAGTTTCATTAAGATGAACCTAAACATTGTTTATTATTTAATAAATAAATATTTGGCAATAAATTCTTCATGTAGTGATAGAGTAGAGGTCGTACTAATAGAAAAATATGGAATATGTCAAATTGTTTAATTACAGAAGTTAGATTTGATAATCGTAAAACTGTAAGGCATGGAAATCGTAATGAGATACCCTGGCTATTTCTAATATGAAATAACTCATGCTCCCATGTCATATTGAAAATCGTTGCTAAAGTATAAATGTTATTGTACAATAATAAAAAAGATAATCGGAATGAACGTCGAGTGCCTATTTTTGCGATGCTTGATTTCAAGCATCTATATTCTGTCAAAAAAGTACCGGAAATTATTCAATAAAACACGAAATATTCATTTATTTATCAAAATTTAAAATAGGCCCCATTCGATGCGATACACTTATGCCAGCGAATTATCCAGTCATGGAAACACTTCTGAAATTTGTATGGTTTCTTCAATTTCTTTTTCGAATTTTGTTTTATGGCTTCAATGGACTCAAAACGTCTTACCCGAAGTGGTAATTTGAGTTTGGGGAACAGGAAAAAATCACAGGGGGCCATATTTGGCGAATACGGTGCTTGGTCGATGATATTTGTTGAGTTTGTGGCCAAAAATCTAACATTTTCAACGATTCGGTACAGCAATTTCATTTACAACACCAAATTTGAGACAATTCTTTGTTCGATGTTTTTATTTATAGTAAAATCGAAAAACACTCTATAGATCAATTAATAATATAATCAACAACTGTGAACAAACTATTTGACAGATCGTGCTCTAACTCTGCGTCATAATGTGATACAGTAGTGCCAACTTACAGAAAAAAATTTTTTGAAATATCTTTTGAGCGAGCTTTTTAAATGACGAATTCCCGGTACTTTTTTAACAGAATAAACTGAAGATGAGTTCTGGGTATAATGTATCGTATACTCATTTTTCGCGCACCCTAGCTGTGTTTGTATTTAAGAAACATTAAATAAAGTTTTTTAGTTACAATACTGATATATACATAAGTTTTACTATCGATTTCTCGGGGTATCTCATATTAGGAGCATAATTTTTTGACTTTACGATTTGCTCACTTTTTCATTTCTTTAATTTATTGTAAAAAAAATGGAATTTGAATTCAATTTTATATAACATTATCTTAAAGCTTATTAAATTCCCTTCAAAATGACTTATTATTTTTAAAAATTCTGCCTATAGAAGCTTCTAGCATTTAAATGAACTCGGTATCTCATAATAAGGGCGTTTCCTCATACAAAAATACCGAGAGTTTGGTCTCTCACATTCTAAAAGAAATATCAAAATTAATCTCCATTCGATCAATTACTTATTTGAGCGATAGGGACGAAAGAGCGTGCCGTTCTTGTGCGACGTACAGCTAACTCAGAAGTCGAATTCTTTTCGCATTATGATCAGATCGGAGATTTGTCACAGGATTTTTATCGCGACGAGCGAAACCGACTGCTCAAATACGCAATAAGTGAGTGTTTCGCGTGAGCGGACGGAGAAAGTTAGAGGACGAGAGAGATAGAAGGTACTATCACATAAAATTAAATGTAACAAATAACAATAATGTATTTGAAGATTGTGTAGTACAAAATGTCGGTCATAATAGGTAGGTCATGTATAATCAAGTTCGGCAACCGCGGCAATGTATTATTGAGCACTCTATATACGCGAAAGAATAATCTCAGGATCAATGAATTATGAGTTTGTAAAGAAGAGACATCGTCTCACACAAACAGTTTTCGCATAATCGAGCCAAGGCTCTCGCTCTCAAGCATTATTTCTCGACTCAGATTCAAGATGTGAACAAAAAAATTTACGGGGCAACTGATTGTTTTGTCCCAAACACATAAGGAAAATAAATTCGTTAGGACGTTATTGTTAACACGCAATTACATAAAACGGCGGCATAAATGACTTAATTGTGACGAGAGGGACGACAGGCACGATATTAAAAACTAATACGATATGCAAGACAATCCGAGCGGGGCATCCAAAACTCTCAATAAAGTAATAATTTCCCATTCAAAGAACAAAAGATCGACATGAATAACGTAACAATCTGCTAAATCTCGTGATATCAGGATTGGCCTCAAAAAAATTGGAACTCATGAATTTCGCCGTCCTTCCGGTATCTTCTGGTGCTCTCCGGTTCATCAATATTCTCTAATGCTTTCTTCAATGTCTATCTACTTTTCAAAAGATCATACCAATATGGGGGATCCTGCGCCCTCTTCAAGCATTCCCGGCTCGTGCCACAAAAAACTACTCGTGCCATTAACGGAAGCGACTTTTGAATTTTCCGTAGGAGACACGCAGGCTGCAAGGCCCTGTGCGGTGGGATCATCTCGCGCCCTAATTGGACGCGAGATGGTTCCATCGCTTATCTTCACTTCCTACGAATCACATAAGTCTATGATAATCGCGTAACTTTTCGCGCTACGGCTGCGGAATTCAAATTGCCAAGCAAATTATTATTCAAGCAGCCAAATCTTCTCTGCTCTCATGCGGAACGGACTAGGGCGATTCCTCGTACAATCTCGAGCTCACGTTACTTACTAGCAAGCCGCTCGTTTTTGCGGTGCTGTCCTCTGGTCAGATCCTCTGCTGCTTCTTCAAAGAAGATTCTGGATACCTAACACCTTCTTACAATATAAGGCACAATTGGCGCGAGAAGAAAGTAACGTACAAGAAATATATACCATAATACGATTTGCATTTCCCTGTTCCCGAGAACGCACGGGCCTCCACGGCGATGTCTTTCTTGAATCGATTTCCTCTTCGATGGCGACCCGGCAATACACAGAAGAAGGTGACAGATCTTCACGCTTTACTTGCTAATAAAATATCTTGCAAAGATTAAAATTAATAAGAAAAATTAATTGGCGTTTAATTATATTGCGCCGCACACGAATACGCTCGCTCTTTCGAGCAGGGAGGACGCAAGATTCATTCACAAACCAAATGGAAAACGTCATATTATTATACTCGTATATATTGGGTCTAAAAACCGCGGATACTTTTTAGATGACCCAATATATACATGTATATATATATATATATATATGCATATGTATATATATATATACATATATATGTGTGTATAATATCTATATACACAGGGTGTTTGAAAAATCTCAGACCCCTTAATTATCCCTTAAATATCTTGAAGTAAACATTTTTGAGAAAAATATTGCATACAAAAGTTGTGTAGTTTAAAATGATCTATTTATTGATGTTATCAGATTGATCTTATTTGAGTGGTGTTGCCAAGATCAGATCAAAAGTCACCGATTTTTTAAAAATGAAACGCCCTATTTTTGATGCTAGAATTTAATAGTCAAGAGCTTTTCAAAACACTATAATAAAGTTATTTTTCATTAAGTACTTTTCGAGTTATAAGGCTTGAAAATTACAGTATTGCTGGCATTAGTACTATCAAAGGTGTCGGACCAAACCTCTTAAATGTTGTTCAGAATCGTGATCTGGATAACATTTGTTAAGATCAAGGCCATTAGAAGTGATACCTACCTCTTATTTTCATTTTTATGTAAAAATGAACTTTTAGTGCAAAAATGTGTTTCGTTTAAAAAAATCGATCGTAAGCCGATCAAACTTTTTCAACAAGTCTTTTAGCAAGTCTTTTTATAAAAAAAAATATATATATATTTGTACCAACATAATCTTGATATACCTAAAATAATTTGCTAAATATGCTAAAAAAGTTTAGTCGATTCTTACTTTATACGTTGTATAAGAAAATATTCAAGTCTGAGTATTTCTATAACAGTTATAAAAGTCGATAAGCAAAAGAGCTTTAAAACAATCAGGATTGAGTCTTCATGCTTAATATAAAATATATAAAATAGTTAAAAAATTGTACTTAAACGAGATTTAAAATTATTATTGCTAATTATCACAAATAATTCTCGTCACATCATACACATTTTCTTGTAACGAATAACAAATTCCATTAAACCTATGACATAAACGGACGGATAACAATGTAAAACATGTTCTGAAAAGAGATTCAACGAGGATACGCCAATGATGTACTATATGATACATGTCACTAAATTGAGATTGAGATTGACATTTGTGAAGATCGAACAATTGTCGGGGAGCATTGCAAGCGAAACATACATCATATATGAGTTTCATTCTCTTGCAGGATATTTCAATAACATCCCGATGAAAGATATGAAGGAGAATGAATTCATTTTGCGAATAAGCTTACAGAATAGATTCGATAAAGACACAGGTCGATCTTTCTTGAATCTTTAAAGCAATGTCCCTTATCAATGAGGACAAAATAAATTTTGAAATTATAGAGTACTTCCGATGGTTGCAGTTTTACGGTATTAAAAATTCTACCGTTTACCTTTGTCACGCGAGCTTCTATGTGAAACTCGTAGCGTATCAAAAGGGTAAAAGCAAAACGAAAAGTTTAATCTCGGCAACTTAACGTTAATTATTTAAAAGCTAAGTCGTTACGCTATTAACTTCCTTGATATTTAACTTTCGAAGAGTGTTGGTTTCTTTTGTACGGCATATAGAATGCTCCACAGAAGAGAACTTTAATGCCAAGTAGAGATGCTTCTTAGAAACAAAAACAAAAAGGACTTTCGCTAAGTAGAACGACACGAGTTCACTCGCTAAATCTCGTTTGCTAACTTATAATTATTATATACAGAAGGCAAGGTGTTTGAGTAATATAACTCGCAATATGTATGCAATAAATGTACATAATAAAGGATTCTGCGCCAGAAAGAATAGAAATGATTAAACGATCATCTAATAAAATTTAAAAATATAAAAGCTTTCTATTCTTAATAGAAATCTTTACTTTTTCTGATATTTTCAAAGCTGGATTTCATGTTTAGAGATAAACCCATGGTGGAAGGGATAACATGATGTATGCAATTTGCAAGTATTTCTCTCTGAATCTCCACCGTCTTTGTCTATGAATGTCTATAAGAGGCTAAAGCTGCCAACTGTGAAACGCTAAACACGAGGCGATATTCATAGTCCGTTTTCATTTTAACTGTCTTAAATAATGCCTTAAGATGTTAATACAGTCCTCGGATTGACTTATAACAGCTTAAAAAACTGTACTTAAGACAGTCTTAAATGTAAGAATCGACTATGAAACCGACCTGCTTCGCGTCGTGAAATTGGTACTAAATGTTTCCTTGTTTTCTATGGAAAGAGAAACATAAAGTGTGAAATAGATCAATATTCATAGTCGATTCTTGCATTTAAGACTGTCTTAAGTACAATCTTAAGATGTCATAAGTCAATTCAAGGATTGTATTAGCATCTTAAAACGTTATTTAATTTTAAAATAAAAATGGATTATGAATATCGCCCCATGTTTAGCGTTACACAGTTGGCACCCTTAGTCTTACATTCATAGACAAAGACGGCGGAGATTCAGAGAGAGAGATACTTGCAAAAATTGCACCATGTTATCCCTTCCATTGGATAAACCATATTTGTACAACAAACTTTATATAATTAATAAATAGAAATATTGAATTAGAAACTGAATTGGATTTGATGTTTTTCTTAAAATTTTTATAATGAATATATAATATAAATTTTTATGAAGAAAGAAAATGAGTTGTCAAGATAATTTTAATTTAAAATGTTTAAATATGTAAGCACCAAAGTGATACTAAAAATATTTATTTTTTTATAGAATCATTTTTTAATCCATAAAGTAAGTAAAAAACTATTATTGCTATAAAATACTCTAATGTATTAGAGCGCTCCGAGCCTGGACACGAAACTGTCTCAGAAAACCTTTGACATAGATAAAAACGTTTTATTTCGTACTTTAGCGTAAAACCATCTCTCTTAGAACATTCTTTGAATGTACTATTGTTTTTCGAACAGCATCTTGTCAATGGAAATTCAAGTTCGTCTCTGTATTTTTTTTATAGTTATAACCCGTTTCTTATCAAATAGTGATGAAACTATATAGATTGCGTAAAAATAGTAACTAACCTTAGTCTATTGAATTTTTTTGAACGTCATACAATGAATTTACGACAATCAGATAACGATACTAATTGTATTGCATGTATTATATTATATCTACAATACTGTATACAAATATTTAATTGTTCTAATATATGTATGAATGCAATAAAAACTACCATTTTAAATGTATTCGAATTAATTATTCAACTCAATTATACAGCTAATTATAGAGCTAATTAATAGTAAAAAGCGAATAAATGTAAAGTCAATCTTTGATTTCTCCATTGTAATCAAGTGCTTTTTTGTCATAAAATAAATAAATTAATAATAATATTGTATATTCTCTAATAGCTCCAATAAATATAAAATTCAAAATACAATTGAAATAAATGGATTATTCGAGTCTTAAGCTAGATATTATCAGCCACATTATTATTTCACAAAGTAAACAAATTATACATACGTATACGTTTCAAATGTTTCAATCTTAAATGCGATTACCTTCAGTAAAAGAATAAATTATGTTAAAACTTAAAAATTATGTTCATATAATCTTCCACGCATCGCCATATAACCTTACTACTTTTACATCACAAAGTTTATGTGGAAATATTATATTTTATTATTACTCGAGATGAATTTTGATGATATAAAACAGAAGGATTATATGACGATGCATATAAGTTATAATATATAAACGTGATTTAACATAATTTATTCTTTCACTGAAGATGACCGCATTCAAGGTTGAAACGTTAAAATCTATATATGTATGTATATTTTATTTCACTTTGTGAAATAAAAAAATGTGGTTGATAATACCTAATTTAAGTCAATAAAATAAATATTTTATAACAAATCTTTATTTATTTCGATTAATGTAAATTAATTTTAGTTTGATTAATCTTTTATATTTTTTTATTCAATATCCTAATAACGCCAATTATTACAATTTTAACTTTTGGATTGTAGTCAAGCGAATCAAGTTATTCACTTCAACAAGCGCGCGCAAGGAACCTGTAAACTTGTGCGCGGTCGACGAGAAATCGATTGTTAAAAGCGGTCGAAATGAATGGTAAGTACATGTCTAACAACATTCATTCCCGCATGGATCGATGGCTCCGAATACCGTGTATATTCATTATTCATTTTCAAGGTTCTTCTACTATTCCGCACTTGCTGAGAACGAATTTCGGTGTGCTCTAAATTTCTTCCGCTACAAAAAGGTTGGTGGTTGCGGTCAGGAGCACCAAAAGCTCGCATATAAATTTATTCTCCTTTAGAGACAGTAGTTTGAAAACATTACTTCAATAATACTTGAGAGAATTAGATTGCGAAGAAATGTTAATTAGCTATTATATTTCATTATTAAATTATCCATATTTAATTAAATTTTTGGTAAAAATGAAGGAAAGGAAAGCAATACCTGACAACTTTGACCTTGCCTTATGTTGTCACGACTCTAAGTGACCTTCAAGAGGTTTTAGCAAACATAAATAAATAATAAATAATATTTTATTTACTTCTCTACAAAAATTTGTCCAATCGATAACAGTATGATCATTAAGTTCTAATTCATTTATTAGAAATCTATGTCGTGGTGACTATATTATTAAAAAATAATCGATAAATTGACAAATTGCAGGAAGCGCAATTAAATGTGCGCCTCAAATTATATTCCACGGAATGCACTGATTTTAAAATTACATATTACTTTTTGTCGTTTACGATCTTTACTACTTTTATAATAATTATTTATGCATTAAAATATATGATTCTTAGTAACAATACTAAGGGGATTCTAAAGTCATCTTACCGATCATAATTTTTTGTATAACAATTACTTTTTTCTTCTTTTACAGATTCAAAAATTTTTTTCCAGAATTGATATACATTAATACATATCTGTGAGGTGGAGTCTATGCTGACAATGAGAACAACAAAAAATTTCGAAATTGAGATTGATTTTTATCATTTCTTAATCCAATATGGCGCTTCAGAACTGTCACGTCGTACAACATTTGCTTCATATAAAAGCTGTGCAATCTGTATTTACGAAATAGTAGTTCACAGACTAGTAGTTTGTATGAAGAACAGTGGAATTCTTAAAATTAAACTTAGACATCTAATTAAAACGTATTTGTTATACAAAAATTTACAATATATGTATGTGTGACATGTGTAAGTGAGATATTAATGTAGTGATGTATCACATATAAATCGTCTCTGTGAAAGTTTTTTATAATATGACTAATGATCTTCAGGGATTTCCTTAATATCAGTACATTACGATACCTTGGACATATTACTTCATTCCGCACAACTTTTTTCTCACATAAAAAATTCTACGAGCGATCGAAATCATAAGTTACATTAATAATTTCATACAAATGCATATTGAAAGTTCGTAAGTGTTTAGAACATATTACAATTATCTGACTGATTGACATATACTGATCAAAATTGTCTAAAGTGTATACTGTAAAAGATTTGAAATCAACAATTGGCGTCGAAGTAAAATTTTATGTATCATTAAAAAAAAGATTTGATATCAATAAATGATGCCAATTAAGTTAAATCCCATATATAAAAAAAATTAAATAATATTAACTCTAATAATATATATCATTTGTATGAAAGATTTGATACCAATAACTGGTGCCAAGTTAAATAAAGAATACAGTCCAAGTGATATTACCTTTAATTGATAAATATGCCAATTAGGGGAGACCTTTCCAATAATCCTGACTTTATCAAAGTTATGACCCTGAGTGTCCTCCAATAATAAGTTTTAGCTGTCGCTCGTTATCCGTTAAAAAGTTATTAATAAAAAAAGTTTAAGAAATAACATCTTATTTCTCCTATATACAATATTATATACAATATTATATACAATATTATATACAATATTAAAATAACTCCATATCCCCCTTATCAAGAGGAGTCTTAGACATAGGATAAAGTGAGGTGGACCTTACTTTGCGTGGAAAGTAAGATATCCCTTGGCAGAGGAGAAGGTGGGATGGACCTCGCTTCGCGTAGAAAGTCGGACACTCCTAAGCAAGATGGAGAAAGTGGGGTGGACTTCGCTTCGCGTGGAAACTGTGGAAAGTCGGACGCCCCTAGGCAGAAAGGGAAGTGGGGTCAACCTCGCTTCACGTGGAAAGTCGTGCGCTCCTAGATAAGATGGGATTCGCTTCGCGTAGGAGGTCGTATAAATGCATGCTATTAAAATTACTTTAATTCCAAATATTTCAAAAACTATAAGAGACCGCCACCTTGTTGTTGTTAAGGCAAAGTAATTCAACAAGATCGTGACAACATATATCAATTAAGACCATCAAGGGTGCCCTGCAGTAAATAATTATCAAATTTTTAATATAATCAGAGAGAAACCTGAGAGACCATCCCCACCATCCCGACGTTTTTGCGTGACACTCGAAAGCCATCGACATTAGCGACACCAACATCAATTTTATAAACTGATGTGAACTACGTATATCATTTTCAACACTGTTGATAAAATCGTAGTGTCGATAAATGAATTTGATATTACATCCGAATTATCCACAAATAAAAATAACTAATTTATAAAAAAATGTTTTTTTTTTAATCAGACAAGACGTTTTTTGTAGATTTTTGGATGCTGAAAACGATGCTACAAGTTAAATTTCACTAACAAGATTTTCAAAATAACTGAAATTTAATGACATTACAAAATGACTTTTTTTGTGATATTTGAAATGTTTTTGTAAAAAAGATTAATGTTATCTTGAAATTGTAATCAGAGGTCATGAATGTTATTGTTCATCCTCTATACATAAAATGTATTTTTTTTTAATTTCGATATCTTACTTTTTAATTATGTTATGAAGGATTCAAATACAGAGTTTTTCTAAGACAATAAATTTTCCACTTATGAGAATGAAATCATTATTTTAATTTTTAGTTTGTGACTATCGATACGCAATGTAATTCACTACTATCGATTCCACTAAATGTATATATGCATATATACAGGATGATCCACTTAAATTGACTATATCTCGCTTATTTTTCATGATATAAAAAAATGTTTCAAAAAAAAGTGGAACGATTTCGACAGGGACGTATTAAGCTTGTTCTTTTTGAATTTTCACCAGTTCATCTTTCTTTCTTTTCTCTCCAGGAGGAAACAAAAGGAAAAAAAATGAACTGATATAAAAGTTCAGCCAAAAAGAACAGGCCTATTTTGTCATGTTTTTTTTTCTAAATGGTAGCGCAAAAAGATATAAAGGTCATCTCCACTGTTTTGAATTGAATTGTATATTTTTTTTATTTTCATTACTTTGCCCTTTTATGCAAGATATGTAGACGACATCGCTTTAGCCATCCCTCTAACAAGTAAGTAGATGTTAAACATTTTTAATTCCTATCACAATAGATGATAATTCATCATATAAATTATGAAAGAAAAATTACAATTCATCATAGAAATTGAGAGAGAGAAAACTTTCTCGATATCACTATGCATAAGAAAGACAATATTGTTGAATTTAATTGGTATCATAAACAAATCAACATTCTCAGGAAGACCTTAACTTTCTGTCTCAATATCTCTTTCTCAATATCTCTTTCTCAATATCTCAATAATAAGTAAGAATATTATAAAGCCTATAATGATCGAAGTTAGATCTTTAATACTTAAATAATTCAATGTGAATTATATAATATATATATATAGAACTGCGTGTCGAATTGGTTTTCCGGACTTATAAACTACTGGAATAATATAATATCACAAATTAAATTAAATTGATAAGCAAATTTTAATAATTTTAATGTTCAATCATATTAGAAAAATGTTAATGTGCTGAAAAACTGTAAATAAATTTATTGCGGAAAATATTACTTCGGCCGGGAGGTAAAATCTCCGGATCTCTTGTATTTCGTACGAGAATATTCTATTTTATTATTGTGTAAAATAATATTGTAAAAACAAATTATTGGTTTAAAATCCCACACATTCCTAGGATTTCTTATAAATTAAAAAATATTTCCAATGATCTTAAATTTAATTTTATTTGTTTAGTCTCAATAAACTTGCATATATTATTAAAAGACACAAAAACGCTCTGCTCAATCTCGCTCAAAAAAATATTGTCTACAAAATATCTTGCAAGAATTGCGATGCGACTTATACAGGGCAGAGAAATAGAAAACTAAAAACTCGTGTAAATGAACATTAAATCACATTAATAGAAATACCATCACGCTATTTGTAATTACGGAACATAAAACGAATTTATATCATGATTTTGATTGAAATAATGTAACAATTTTAAACAAAGAATTTTTTAAAAATAAGCATCTCAGTATTTCGGAGATGCTTCTTATAAAACATAAAAGAAGTTTGAATTTGTAAACGGACATTAAATATTTATATCACTCCTATATTTCTATTTCAAATAATTTATGTACTGACTTTTAATGCTTATTTATTGTATTTATGTTTATACTTCTATATGTAAAGTGTTCACAGTTGAATTTGTCATTTCAATTCTGAACACGTTACAATACCAGTTGGAATAAAATCATTCGACCTATCAATCGCTTGTGATGGAATATTCGGAATAATTAGAGGAATCATATTGTGTAAAAAAAATTATGCAATTCTATTTTAAAAAGTGGAGATGTCTTTCATATCTTTTTGGCGGCTAAAAAAAAACACGTCTCCCTCGAAGCTGATCCACTTTCAATTGAAATATTTTTTTATATCATTAAAAATAAGCGAAATATCTCGGATAGTCGGTTTAAGTCGATCACCCTGCATACGTATAATATATACATACACGTACGCACTTAAAAATGTAGTTAGTTGATCTTTATGTTCTTACAGTCACTTAATGTTGTCACAGTCACCATCAATTTCAAATTTGATTATATATTGTATAATTATATAATTAAATATAGTTATGAAATTATAATTCAAAATTATGTAATAATTTAATTAAATTATGTAATAATTTAATTAAATTATATAATAATTAAACATAATTAATATAATATAATCAATATAATAATAATTATTTATAATTAAAATATATAATAATTTACTTATAATTAAATATTAATATAATAATTTAGTTATAATTGACCATTCTAATATTAAATTAAGATATAAATCAATTTTAATGACTTGTTTAAATTTCTTAATACAATTGACTTCTTATTGATGCTCTCTTAGAAACTGTAACTTCTATGTATTAATATCAACGAGATATTATTAAAGACTAACATCTTTGTTTATAGTAAAGAAAAAACTGATAATATTATACTAATTTTATGATTTATTAGTTTTGAAGATATATTTATCACTATATGCATTTAAAACTCAATAATACTTGATTTTTTTAAAATTATAATTTCAATGTTATCGTTAAAGTTTGATTATCAATAGAGATGATAACTACAGAGAAAAAAATTATAATTTTTCGGTAATATAGGGTATTAGCTTTACAAGTATGTGCATATTTATTTATGAAGCATTTATGTAAAAAAATCAAAATTTAATAATGTATTAGCCAAATATTTATATTAATTATAGCAAATTTATAACAATTATCGATAATGTCAACGTTCTTCAATTACTTCCAGGCCCTTGGGGCTCTTTTTACCATCGAAAATTTGCTCAGGGTTGGTCTTTAATATGTTTCTCGTCAGTGTCAAAGCCAGAATCATCTTTGACATAAGAGTCTCCTCCCTGAGATGAATTCGATTGCAATACAGATTATCTACTTTTCAACAAATGACATTTTTGAACAAAAAAAAGGATTGTAACACGCTGAAGAATACAAGATTCATGGATGTGTTGGACGAACTGAGCTCTAATATAAAAATGGATAAGTTAAAACTTCTGAGAGAGAGAGAGAGAGAGAGAGAGAGAGAGAGAGCGAGAGAGAGAGAGAGAGAGAGAGAGAGAGAGAGCGAGAGAGAGAGAGAGAGAGAGAGAGAGAGAGAGAGCGAGAGAGAGAGAGAGAGAGAGAGAGAGAGAGAGAGAGAAAGAGAGAGAGTAATCACCTTAATCATATTGAATTGTGACATTATAAGAGAAATGACATGTTGATTTTTCTTGCATATCATTTGTAAAT